AATCATCACCACGTCAGCTCAGACCAGTTAGTCTTTATTATTAAGCAACAGGGGAAAAGAGGATTCTTTCAAATAAGCAGAAGTCTGTGGGGTTGATGTCAGGAGTCATGCTAATACTGCAAGGCTTGATATAGAACACGTGGGCGCTAGTGTGAAGGGGCAGCAGCAACAGGAAGCCCGGCCGAGCGCAGCTACAACGGGAGGCCTGCTTCTTCAGGACACGCTCAGACCAGGCGCTTCTTACGCCTGGGCCGCATAACACAACTTAATATCCACTGCTGTCCTAAACAGCACTAACAGAAGTTTTCCAAAGCAATTACCCAACCATAAAGGTGCCAGATAACAGAAAGCTCCAGAACTGTCCCTAAGTAGTCAGCTGATGCTCCTCCAGGGGCAGCTTCCTCGGGCCTCCTGGACCTTACGGGAAAGGGGGGTCAGGCAGCGAGTGTTGGACCGAGCTGCTTCTAAGGAGCTGCAGAGCTCCCTGCTGCTGTAGGGCATTGGATGGAACCAGCACTAGAGCAGGACGAGTGCTGGAGCTCCACTCAAACACCTCCTTTGTGCTGGGAAGGGCGGGGGACACAACCCTAACATTGCTCCTGACTCCTGATAGCATTTCAGAGGAAATTAGAAAACAAATTCTCCTAGAACAGCTAAACATCTTTAAAAAAATCTAAAGGAAAAGATAACTAAGATGGCACCCATAAATTCCAAAGCATATGCTCTTCGTTTTGTAAAGTGAAGGCTGCATTTAAAGCAGCTAGGTTAAACGTGAATGTCCTCTTGAAACTAGCTGGAAATCAAAATACTGCTTTGTTATCTCCTGATGCTTAAAAAACCATTGCAGCAATGTGTGAATAAGGAATCTGAAGTCTCGTCTGAGATACAGTTGCAAGCAGTTTCTAGGACCCAAGAAATGCTGACCAGGGAGACACAATAGATTAGACAGTACCTTTATAGAGTGGAGCTGTAATCCAGTTTGTATGGAAAAACGAGAACGCAAGTTGCAGCCTAAACTCTACTGCGTCAGTGGCCTAACACAATACAGTGTAAGTGACATCCTTTTTCTCAAAGAGACTCAAGGCTCATTGAATCTGGCAATTCAATTACCCTCTCAACCCAGAAGGATCCCCTCCTCCCCGTCCCTCTCCTACTCCTGAGCTGAGGTCTAATGGGAGAGCAGCCAGGAACAGCTACATTGTACATGGCCTGTAAATATCTAAAAAGCCTCAGGCTTTAGAGAACAAGCATCCCTGACCTTTTATGATTGCTATAGTAGTTTTCCAACAAAACAAGCTACATACAATAGAGCTCTTAAATACCTGACAGAGTAATTCATTTTCAGTACACTGTAGCCTAAATACTCTATTTATTAATGAATCATGTTTAAATAAATAGCTGAATGCCATACTGCTTCCTACTTAGACAGAAAGGAGAGCAAGGAAGTTTGCAAACTAGATCTCCTCAAAAGAGCCAGAGGTGTAACCTGCTGGAGGGAGTTTCTTAAGGGAACAATGAAGAAAGGTTTGGAAATGGGAGAGGAAATTCAACAAACCTAGAAAGCAACCCAGATGTCCTGGGCTTACTGACTCGAATACCTGAATCTTCTACATTTCTTCTATTTATTTTGTCTAGAAGCTAACAGATGTATGCATAAACTGTTGGGTTAAATATAGGAGTTTATTTACAAGGTGAAAACAGCAAAAAAGCTTTTCATTGGAAAGTATTTTCAAAGACATTTAACAAAACCTTGACAGTGCAAAGTATGCTTTTATGAAATGATAGAGAATATTCAAGCAAGCATATTGCTGAATGATACCTGAATGATTAGTTTATTAAAATTTTAGATATATACTTTAAATTGTTGCATAACAAATTCAAAAATTTTTAATGAAACCAGTAATTTTTCACAATGGTAACTTTGAAATTTCAGTGTAGTTTCCAAAATTATATTATTCTTGTCTTCTGTCAGCCCTAAAAGCACAGGATACAGGCACAAATATGCCAGCAGCACGAAACAGGGTGAGGACACTGCCACAGGGCAGTCATGCAGATCCTGTTAAGGGTCCTGACTTCAAGAAAATCACTTTAATTTCTGCACCTGCCTCATAGCTTCCCCCGTATTTCTCACTTGGTAGAAAGCAATGGGTTTCAAAGTGCAGATAATAGTATAAAAACCAGTAGTACATATACCTACCTACAAAAATATCCTATTAATAAAGCAAACAGCAAGAGTTTATGTAATGGTTCCCAAAGAACAAGATTCATTATGTTGCAATGGAAACATTTTCTAGTAGAGGCACCAGAAATTAATATATCAAAAGGAAAATTCAGTCGAGCAAACTGCAGCCATCAAGTCAAAACGAGGTTGTCTCTAAGAGTGTTATTTCTCCAAGACATCAGTCTGTACATGAATTGAAGGAGGTGCAGCTATTGACAGGGAAGCTATAGCTAAGTTAACCTGCTACCTGCCCCATGATTTCACCCATTTGCTAAGTATTTCTGGTTGTGATTTTTTCCTAACTTGATTTTTTTTTTTTTTTAATGAGCCAGCATTAGAGCTGTCACAGAGAAATGCTCCCATGACATTAGATTTTCTCAAGCAGGATAAAGGGAGAAAGCAAAGGGTAAGCAAAGGTTTGCATACTCTATGTATGCAAACTCGCACTTGGAACTCGGGGCAATGCTGGTTTGGGGCATAGTTTCCTGCCTTAGCATCTGAGCTAGCAGAAACCAACTATGGGATTTTTTTTAAAGCTGTATCCTTCAATTCATGTGATTATCAAGCATTAACGTGAAGTAAAAGCAGGTAACAAAATCTTAGTCTACTTTTTATGGAAACTACAGTTTCAGAAGGGATACTGGAGCTATGTATAGACAGGGTACTAAAAGCAAGGATATAACTACATGGCAGTAATCTGAAATACTTAGGTTTACCCCTAAGGAATGCTAAAGCTCTGGAGAGAATAGCAGTATATAGCAATTCTTTTCTAAAGCAGGATTTCCTGATAAAATAGCAGCTGATCAGGTCACTTGCTCAGGGCAAAACCAGAGACTTACCCAGCATCTGCAGCTTCCAAGCTACTTTAAATGAGTGAACATCAAACAGCCCTAACACTATAGGCTGCGACCCACCTTCCTGACTGACAGGTAAAAATCTGGCCCTATTAAAATCTCTAAGAGTAGACCCATTGGCTTCAGCAGCACAAAGCTCTCTCTTCACAACTTTAAAGCAGATGCCTAACATTATTCCAGTGCATCTTTGCCAAAGTACAGCTCTCAAAGCTCTGCAGTTACCCCACCTAATTTTCTCTCCCTCTGTAATGGATTCCCAGAATTCAGAATGAATCTGCTGTTGAAATGACTTACCCTTTCTGCCAATTCACAAAAGCATCGTATTTCTAAGGCTATCAGAGGCTGGGAGGCCCACCAGCTGCCTCATTCCAGGGCACTTCTGGTGTCAGTTTTGACATTTTATTTTGCAGTCTTCTGTCCACTTTCCCTTTTTTACTCCCAGCTTTTGTGTTTCTATAATCAGGTCCTTTTCATTAGTAACAGGTGGCACCCTATTATATCCCAAGGCAGGAGCATAAACAAACCTTAATAAACACAAAGTATTTTGGTAAAACACTTCCACAAAATTTTCTTTAGTTTTCCTAAAGAAGCTAGAGCAGAATTAAGAGATGGAGACTAGCAGTTTCATTACTGCCTTGCACCTTCTCTGTTCAGTTCTGCTGCTGCTTCACAACGTCTGGAAGAGGTAATAAGCAGCAATATGCCACAAAGTAATATAGTATGGCTGGAAACAGATGCCTACATTCATGAAAGTAAGTGCTGCACTGACAGGATCCAGATTATATAAGAAAATAGCCTTTATGCAGACGCTGGGCGTATTGCCAACCACTGTAAAGCACATCAACACATAGTTATGTTATATAATTGATACATGTATCTTAATACCTCCTTTTATCCCAGTGATTCTTGTTAAGGTGCAGAATTTACTGCTATCTTCTCCATGCAATACACACCGCGTAATGAAGGCAGCGTCGCCGTCACTCGCATGCAGCAGGGCTGCGGCTGCCCCTGCGCAGGCCCTGCCACAGGCACTGCATCTTGGATGTACCCTGGAACGCAAAGCGCAGCCACAAAAACCTGCACGTCACCCCCAGCACATCAGGAGGCTGGTTGGACTCATACAGATAAATCAAGCTGGAGCTAATGACTCAAAAGATGGAAAACACTTTTGAAAGGCAAGGGGCAATCAATATCCAGTCATGTTTAGACCATCCCAGACAGAAAAATTAATCTTGTCATATCAACTTTGCAGTCAATTTTCCTTATTCATCTTGCTTACTGTTGACAGTCATTTGTAAACCAGAAAAAATATTATCTTTCTTTTAAGGATTTCACTGTCATTATAATGACCTGTTAAGAGAGGTACAGCACCTCCAAAAAAGCAGGTTCTACTTATTCCCATCATATTTCATTATTCATCTAAATGACAGGCCACATTTGCATGAACCAGAGCCTGCTAAAATAAACTACAGCAACGAGAACAGTCCTTGACATGAGCACCTTTCAAGAAATTTCAGCCCAAAGAAAATGAAAATTATAATCATTTGCTAAAATAAGCCTTTAATGAAAAAGGGTCTTGTAAGTATATTACCTCGGTCACGTAGCAATGTGAAATAATGACATTGTAATGGTCAGTATTTTTCAACACCATTAGATTTTAAAAATAAAGTCTTTATGGAAAAGGGACACAAAGAATAGATTTGCAATATACACACTTTCTACTGGCATGGAGCAGCATAATGTATTAGCACGAAACAGCAATAATTAAAAATAAGATGAATCTGCTGAATGTTAAAGCCCCTGGTACAAAGTATTATAATTTTTCCAGACTTTACAAAGATACACCTTGTAGTGCAATAGTACAATGAGCAATGCAGACAAGCGCTGTTTGCTGCTTCCATGCACTATTGCAAGCCCAATTTTACCTTGTTTGCGATACTTGTGATAAACGACTTGATGTCTAGATGAGTTGGGCAACTCTTCTGACATGGGGCATCCGCACACTTCAAGCACCTAAAGGAATAAAAGAATATATGTCAAGGAGACATGGAGCACAACTGCTGCCACTAGCACGTGGTTTCTCAAGTGCACATGACAGAAGACAAGCCACAAATGATTAATAAAAGACTTTTCCATAAAGTACCTAGTTAAAACCTCTAAGTGCTGCATGACCATTATTGAACTTTGATGCTGGACAATCAGACATACAAAACTCAACACTTCCACAGAGTAAGGAATTAGTTTGTCCTGTATGTGCAAACAAATAATACCTGGCAAATTTTGAAGTCTTTCTTATGCATTTCTTGTAATGTGCCTCTGACCTTTTAAAACAGTTCAGTCGGGCATACTCCCTACTGAAATACGCAATAGCCCCTTCTCATCCCTAATGTCATATCTTATTGTATAAAATACAACATATATGATTTTTTAAAAATATAATATACACCATATAATAACATAATGTATAAGTACATTGATATAAATAAAATATTTTTGTATATTTTATTGTATAAAATACAACACATGAAAATTGTTTTAACAGTATTCAGCTATGGAGAATGAAAATTTAGTTTTAATGTATTACCTGGGCACCACTATTTATTCAAGTCTAATAAATCCACCCTAATCATTGTTAACTAGCATGAGTAAATACTACTGTGAAACTGTCTGGAGTGATCAGCCTGGCTGCAAGAGGCCTATAGACAAAAAAACAAAGAAATAAAGACTACATTAGAAGGAACAAACATGCCTGAAAATAGCTGCAGTGAAGAAGTTGTCTAACTTTGTCAGTCACATGCATTGCTTTTGTTTTTGTTTCTTTAATTAAGTGTAAAATAAGAGAGAAGGCAAAAGCAGTTTAGTGAAAGATTAATTAGCTTTCATCCTATTCATCATCTAGCTGGGTACTGCAGACACGGTGGCACCGGAAACACGGCAGCTGCATCCGAAGGCACATTTGGGAGCAGCTCTTGGATTTCTACACATGGGGAAAGCGTCCCAGAGGGAATACTGAAAGGAAGGCAGGTCTCCCGGGCACCAAAGGCTGGGAAACCCAATGGAGCCAAACCCAGCCCAGCACCATATGAGGTCACAGGCTCCACTGGCCTCCGCTGGAGAGCTCTGGAGAGCAGCACTAGCAGCTCCAGCTGCGGCTCCGACATGTCCCCCGGCCCAGCACCCGTCACTGGGACATGCCTTAAATATCCCAGCCAGCAATCCCAGGGCTGGGGGACAGCAGTGGGGTTATGTGGGCGCAGCACCGAGCCAGGACCCTCAGTGATCTCAGCAGACTGAAAGACAACCCGTTCTAGTAGGACAGGCCAGAAAACGAGGCGATTCATTAGACAAGATTGGACATTGCCACTGAGGTGGTTATTTTGGCCACGTCGCAGTGAGAAAGTCATAGAAACAAACAAAATCACATGTTTAAAAAGGACAACAATTCTCCAATGACTTTCTCCTCCCTGCTTTCCTGAACTCAGTTTCTTTTAAAATGTAATAGTCTGTGGCCAAGACTGAAAGAATTGCATTTAACATAAAATACATTTCTCTGGAGTAGATTACAACAATCTCATCAAAACTGCCTAGAAAGGAGAAGCAGCACACAGATTAACCGGCACAGGGAGCGAGCATCTTTACCCAATTATTTTCCTTTTGATTTTTGTGCTGGTTCACAAATAACAGCTGCTGGAAATGTCAGCTATTAATGAGCGAGGACAACACAAACTTGAATGGGAGCTTCTGGGGAGGAGGGAAGGGTGCCACGAATATGCCAGCCCAGACTTTCGCTTATAACACCACCAAATAATACCATCTTCCGAGTCGCCGAGCGCTCCGCCGACTAGAGTGCACACGGCTGCCATTAATCCCACTTATCACCCTGACAGCTCAGTAATTACACTCCCACTCGAGCTACGCGCTGCGAGGGGCTGCGGTCCTCATAAAGCACCGCGCGCCGCGCAGGACGCACGCCGGCGAGGGGTTTTATTAAACTTGGGGGGTTGATTATCAAGTGACATTAGTGTTGACCTATTCTTCTATGTGACAATAAATTATCCTTTGACCATACCATAATAGATGCTAGAGTGCACCAAGGAGCAATGCTGTGCTTTCTGGTGAGCTAGGCAAAAAGAATAAATATAATAGAAGTGTCCGCAAAAAAGTTATTACAGAAATTACTGCAAGTGACTGATCCTCTGAAAAATGGCACACAAAATCCTGAATCTAAGGCAATATGCCTGCAATTACTAGGAGCTTCAATGCCACGTGCACGTTCCCATACAAAGAGAAATTAATTACACTTTTTAATTACACTTTCCTTTTCTGTAATTGCCACCTTTTGTTTTTCAAGGCTATTCCACTACTATGTGTTTAGTTCAAAATGTAAGGTAAACATCAAATCAGAGTAAATCTAATTCTCCTGTTAGCTACAATTAAATTTAAACAAAAAGATCACTACCGAAAAATACAAAATGAAACCACCCATGTTTTAAGTGGTCATAATATTCTTGGATGACAAAAATGCAGAGCATTAGACAATGCCAGACCGACAGTGATTACTAAAATTAGTTCTCAGAATCCACTTCAGTTAAAATATAGAAAAAACAGTTTTACACAGTCCTACCTTTAGAAATACATACACTATGTTGGGCCTTAGAAAATACTATATTTACCTCAGATAGAATTCATTTCCACACAAGAGGAAGATGCAACCCAATAGTTCTTCTATCATTAAACTCAAACTTTGGAATCTTGAAGACAAGGAATGAAATTTTTCATTTGGGGAGCACTTTGCTCTTGGGTCAACTCAGTGTTATTGGAAAATGGTAAGTTAGATATAAAGCTTCTACAAGCTTATGTAAATACAGCATATTTATATAAATATTTATGCAAATATTACCATTTTGCATAGCTTTACAGACAGGCCTGTGCATTTATAATGACAAAAAAATCACATTCTCCACATAACTCAAACACTATGTGTCTTACTGAACATTGCTAAATTATACATACGTATTTCCAGTGAACTTACCTGCTAACTTAATTTTTAAATATTGTAATAGTGAAGCTATTTATTGCTGAAGGTGAACCTGCTTGTGAATCTCTTTCAGCTACTAAGCTCCACATGCAAAGGAGGTACTTATGCAGTACCCAACATGAGCAGCTGTCAGGCTTGTACCTGTCAATTTTCTCTGTACAAAATAAGCACCTAAAATTGTGGATAAACATGCACAAACACAAACTCACTCAAGCTGTAGGTATTAGAGTATAAACTCCAAAACAAAAGAGAGATAGCAGTAGATTATTAATAATAGTAAAAGAAATAGACATTTTAAGAATAGTGATCTTTTTTCAAGACAATAAATAAGAAAATGGAAAAAGGTAGCAAGTTTCTGGAACAAATACTATCCTTTGGGGAGGAGAAAAAAAGGATACAAGAGAACCATGAAGTATAAAAAAGAAAAAATACATAAATTAGAAATAAAGGAACAGATAAAGCAACAATTTTGTGGAACAAAAGATCTAAGAAACCAGTGTGTATTTTTGTGCACAGAGGAAAAAGAAAGTAGTGACAGCAAAGACTAATTTTCAGTAAATAATTTTCATTGACTAATTGTTGAAATATTCCTAAGTATTTCTGCAATATTATTTGACCAACAGATTTGTCTCATTTCTGGGAGCAGACTAGCTCTTAACACATCTTTGCTTCTAAACAAAGAAGGGCAATTGAGCTATTTCATTACCTAAAATTGCAGTGAACAATTGTCTGCCTAACTGGCAATAAAACTATCTGAAGTGCAATTACTTGTATGCTGAAAGACCAGAGGTGAAACAGATAATCTGAAGTAATACTCCACAATGGATCGTTGCTGATAACCTAACAAAATTTTCATATATCACAAAAACAGGCCAAATAAACTTTGTCTTGGTTACTGTTGGCAGAGGTTTAGAAGCAGATTAAATCCCAGTCCATTTATGTGGTTTTCTGCAGAGCATAAAAATATCATTTTAAAAAGGGGCTTTCTAGCTTTCTATTTGTAGAACTTTCTAAACTTTATCCAGAAATGACCCACATAACACAAATAGGAGAATCTTGCATAGGTCATGCGGCTGTGTTCCAGAGTACATTTCTAAGGACTTGGATCAGTTATTTCTAAGAGAATGGTGGAGCAACACCACCCAACAGCCCATCCACATTAAGGACCGACCAGAGCAATCCTCACATCAAGATTGTTCCTGGTTCCAAGGCTCTTGTGCCACACTCTACCACTAGCAGTAACAGGGGAACAGAAAATGCAAGAGCAAGGGAGAAACAGATCTACCGTTTCGGCTCGGCAAGCAGGCGACGATGGGCACTGAGAGCGTGCTAAAGCAAGCCGCTAAGGAGCTGCGAGCAGTTCTGAGGCAAGAGACAGGGGCTGGGAAGGGCAGTGCGCTGAGTAGCCACCGCGGCATGTTCCCGCAGACGGTGGACAGGGTTGCTCAGACAGACAGCGGGTTGCGCTCGCTGTAGCGACCGTCTGCGGAACAGCAGCTGCCAACGCGGCCCAGAACGCTCTGCCGGGAGGGCTGCAGCAACTGCACCTGCAGAGGCACCAAGGCCACAGAGCAAAGCACCGCCCAGGAGAGCCAGGACGCAGTTTAAACCCTTACGTATACACAGCACGAGCCAGACCCGAACTAGGAACGATTGCTGGTTCTAGGTTCACTCTAACAGCTAAACGGAAAACAGTTGTCATCTAGTAGGGACCTGTATTTGCTGAGCTTTACCCATGCCATTAGTGAGCTGGTCATAGAGATGCTCTATGTGTCTCTCACCTGTGCACTGTGCAGTTACTGACAGAGATTCACTGGGAGAAGCTATCACATCATCCTGAGAAGCTTGCTGTCCTGCCCTTGACCATGCCAATGACACCAGCTGCATTCCCAGTGGATCCTAAGATCACAATTCCTTTCAAGCTCCTTAAAACCTGCACACCAAACAGGTCTAGAGAAGCAGGCATTTTGAATGC